GGAGGGGGGGGGAGTAAGGTGTGGAGGTAATCATGGCCCACTCCTACCTTCATTACTGACTGTCTATTTTTTTTTTTTAGCCACTAAACGGTTTTAGTCGCCGGAAGGCGATGCTTTTTTGTGTGTTTAAATCACAAACCTACACATCCATAGCGGGTACAGAAGCCCGATTATTAGCGTTATAATGTTGAGAAATGTATCGCTGAACCACTGATTGGTGATGACGCTGAGGAAAAAAAGACAACCATATATCATGTTCACTATAAGTATCTAAAAATAAGCTTACTATACACTTTCAATGTTTTAGCTTTTGTATAATAAGTATGTAATATAATGCATATAAACTATGTTGAAACGCTCGGAGGCAAACATGTAATTAGCCTGTAATAATCGTGTAGTAATGAACATCAAACTCTAGCTTTTTCAAATGTGTAATACATATACTTTTAGTGAGATTACCACTATTGAAATACCTCCTCAGAACAAGCAAGATCCAATGAACTCAGTCCTGTTGTCAGAATGTTAAAAAGCTTTCTTTACTGAAGAACATATTGAAATGAATTCAAATCCTGGTATGATATATCCTGTAGAGATATCAGTGGTTACTTGAAAAACAAATATGTACATTAGCAAGCCTAAATATTCATCAAGAGATAAATGGGAAAATTGAACTTCAAATTTTGAACAATCGTTCATATTCCATGCTATCTCTAAACTATGAGCTGCTTAGCTTTGTCAAAACACTTAACGCCTTTTCTTCTCTTTTGTTCTACACATTATTATCATCAATGCATATAAATAACAACATAAATTATGATACAGAAAATATATTCCTTAAGTCTTATTACGTTACGAGTGTTTAAAATAAACTATGATAATATCTATTATTCGAATATTTCTCTAAAAATCGGCTGAAGTTATGACCTTCACAATTGCATTAATTTTCGAATTTCCACCTTTATTATACAAAAGTATGCCACATGATATTTTGACTGTGTATTTTCTCAGATAATTATTGAAAAGAGTTAATGCGTTTCTTTCATTTTTACATACTTTATTTCAGTACTAATCACATAGTGGAGACCCATCAGAAACCAACCAACGGTATCGAATTACAAATGGACTTTGCTGATGTACTTACAGACGAGAAGTTCTAACAGACCAGTTGCTACGACATTTCCATGGGAACGCTTCCAGCATCCGGCCACACCAGTGAAAAATGAGAGGAAGATAAGGAAGAATGCCGTGATGTACAATCCAATCACGGAACGTGCCATGTCTATTTGGAAGCAAAAATATTCAAAACACTGATGCAAATACACATTTTTTGTAACTTCCTCTTCCGCTGCAGCAGACTACTTCCGCTGAATTCACAGTTCATCAATGTCGCCCAGTAAACGAAGCAAATAAACGAGTAGGTTGCTTTGCTCTTCCGGGTGGCATTGATGAGCTACAAGTTCAGCGGAAGTCGTCTGTTGCTGCGAAAGTGGCGAATCATGTAACAGATTAAAACACTACGCTATATATTTGTTTCACTGAAATTCACGTTTTGCTGAGGAAAACAAATTCACAAACGAATAAATAACCAGTCGGTCCGCTGAATAATGCAAGACAGATAGTTGATTGTAACGGTATGTCACATGTTATCCAAACACCTAAAGTATTATTTTAGGTTATTATTAGTAAGTAAGAAAATCATACATCAAAATCAAAGAAAGATTCTTTATATTAATAGTATTAGCCATCTCAGACAAGTTTGATTCACGATAGGTCAGTGGAAGTATAGAAAAATGAGAGTTGGGGTATGTACTTGCAATATATTATAAATTAAAGGAAGTTCTTAGCAATACGGATTACACATTTATTAATAGCCTTTAGAATAGATTCACGAGAAACAAGTGAATTCATTAAACCGATACCATTACATGTTAAAAACACACGATACAAATTGTTTTGCCTAAAGGTATTTTTATTGTATTTTGAAGTTACGGAAAAACTACTGTCCCTAGTTTTGTACCACTGATCATAGGGATTTTCTTAAAGAGAATCATATAGTGTTCCTTATCTTTCACATACTGAACAGTAAGTATGTGGTTTGATAAACTATTATTACCAGGATAAGTTTCAAGAACTGATTACCCTTCAGTACGGTATCCGAAAGATGAAATTAGTATATTTTCATCAATGTATTTGTTAAAATCGAAACATTCTAAAAGTTTTTAAGCATTTGAGAGATAACATTGTGGCTATGTTTTAATTATTTGTTTTAAGTTTTTAACTTATTTCGGGGGTTCCTTGTGTGATCCTTAACGAGAGAGCTAATGCGTAACTACAAGGTCCTGGTTTCAGTTGTGTAACCCACAACAAGAGAGATAATGCGTGATTACAAGGTCCTGGTTTCAGTTGTGTGACCCACAAAAAGAGAGCTAATGCGTAACTACAAGGTCCTGGTTTCAGTTGTGTGACCCACAACAAGAGAGCTAATGCGTGATTACAAGGTCCTGGTTTTAGTTGTGTAACCCACAACAAGAGAGCTAATGCGTGATTACAAGGTCCTGGTTTCAGTTGTGTGACCCACAACAAGAGAGCTAATGCTTGATTATAAGGTTCTGGTTTCAGTTGTGTAACTCACAACAAGAGAGCTAATGCGTGACTACAAGGTCCTGGTTTCAGTTGTGTGACCCACAACAAGAGAGCTAATGCGTAACTACAAGGTCCTGGTTTCAGTTGTGTGACCCACAACAAGAGAGCTAATGCGTAATTATAAGGTTCTGGTTTCAGTTGTGTAACCCACAACAAGAGAGCTAATGCGTGACTACAAGGTTCTGGTTTCAATAGGATTATATTATCGTTTGAACATTTCTGTGAAAGTTTTTGAATAATGAATCGATTTTCCAGCTTTTCTGAATACATTACATATATATTATATATTATTTTCAGCTTTTTTGCAATATTTCGCTCACAAACGATTTTCCAACATCTAGTACCCACTACTGCCATTTTTAAGAGATTATTTATGATGAACGTTCTAACACGAATAGTAAAAGCAGATTCGAATTTTTAGTTTTAACTTAATATCAAAATTGTTTATAAAACCGAGAAACGTAAAGAAACTTGTTTAGAGAAAGTCTCCACAATTTATGCGACGCTAATTAGTAAGATCGCAACAGAAAACTTTAAATATGGGTTCGCAAACAGTGGCGTTATTGCCCGATTTTGTTTCGTTTTTTTATAAGAGGGCTTACTACACGTTAGATTAGCTTGATTCTTTAGCCTTTTCCCCGAAGCAAGGCTACATTCCTTCAGATGCTATCTAGTCAAGGTTGATGTCCTGAAAGTAGTAGTTACTTCAAGTTGACGCTATTACGATAAAATATCGGTAAAGTTGACATAAAAGAATAAATTTTATGTAGTCAGGTTTATTGCGTCTTGAAGCTGAGTAGCAGTTAAACCAGTCGTGCAACCAGCATTTATGTATATATTGTATATTTACGATATATATATGGTAACCAGACCTGTGGCGTGTTTATGAAGTATACACGATTCATTAACTTGTAAACGTGTTTCTGATCAGTAAATAAAAACGAGTTTATACAAGTTTTTGAGTATATCACGTCTGTAGTTACGTGATCAACTCATTTCTAACATTTCGAATAAAATAAGCTACAATTTATTATCATGAATTAGCCCATAGAATCTGTACATGCTAGGTCCAAAGAACCTGCATATAGAATCAACATATGCTAGGACATGCAAAAAACCTATTTCTCTTATTCTTAAGTATACTTTCCCAATATTTTATCACGTTACAGCATGACGTAACGAATAATACAAATATACATAGAGAGCTTTTATATTATACTTTTAAAGATTTTAAAATACAGTTTAAATTTGATATTCGTCCTTACGTAGTCTGGCCCATCGGGTATCGGAGAAAGTGTCTGATATTTCGTTGTCCGGGATGTAGTAGTCGATGTTCACGCACTCCGTCTGCACTGGAGATATGTACGTCTTGACTAAAAGGAAGAAATGAGACATAAATTCTTCATTCATGAGAAACTGAATTTTTCTGAAAATGTTAAGCTTGCTGTGGCAGTAGTCGGAACTTGTAATATATATATAAACACACATTTTGGTTAACATACTCAAATGATCAAAACCGGATACATCTCTTCAAGAAAGGCCTACAATGATTCGAATGTAAGGTTCCACAAACGAAGCTATCCCTACAATTTTTCTTCAATAAATTCGGAAAACTAAAATGACTGGAAGAGCGATTTTAGATCAAACGTAATTCGATTCACTGCAAGCCTACAATACAATTTTCGATTTTTTATTCAAACATCTACTAAGCATAGCTACATGAATAATGAAATTTGATATTGTTTCTACATATTATCAACAATACCTTGGTCTTACTTTCTGTTTTAACTTTCAATTCATCCAACTTCCACAGTTCTATTCCTAAAATATTGAACATAACATAAAAAACATCCATATCAAAAAATAAATTTCAGTTTCAGCCATATCATACTCTCAACAATATTTTTCATCTTTATTGATATCCTTTCCACAAATTTGCGTTTTCTAGCTCAATCCAAAGAAACTTTAATTTTTTTCATTGAACCGCATGGCTCAGCATGCGAAACATGGACTAAAAGGCCAGGTCCAGAGGTCCTCAAAAAAATTAAGGCACAGCCACACCTAACTTAGAATTACTAACCACGAAGAGAGCAACTAGTCACCCTCATCCTATATGGCTACTCTTATCTGGATAACGGGATTGATTATCAAGATATAATGGCCCCATAGCTTGAACTTAAAAAAGTGTTTACAAATATATCGCCTCGAACTTTGGACTTTTCAATCCGGATCCCAACCCCAAAAAAAGGTATCAAAATAAATTTGTCAAAGCCCTACCAGCAAAAATGTTAGAGGTTCTAAGACAGACAAAGTAAAAAAATAACAGCAAGATGAAAAAATAATCTCTGGGACTAATTCTAAAAAAGTATCGTGAGCATATTGTTTATAATGTTGTAAGTTTTACTGTTATATAAAGAACACTGTAATTACTTAATTTAAATGTTAACTGAAGGGCACATGGTTAAGATCTAGGAATTCCTAAAAAATATATTGATCAAGTGTGCAATATAGATACGACGTCCCGTGATGCATCGGGAGGTTAGTTAGAAAGTGAGTGATTTTTTTTATGTTGTTTTTTCAAGAAGACAGACAAATTAGTTAAAAGACTGTCAGGAATGTATTTAAGAGAGTGTAGAATTATTTCAAGATTGAGCGTTGAATCAGTCAATGAAGTATTTGGATCTGTGTTTGCTATCGCGCTTGGCAAGTTACGTTGTACAAGCTGATTTCTTTTACGTTGGTTAACGTCATTTAAAACGTAAGCTTACAAAAAATACGACAATGTTTAAGTGTTCCAACTTTCAAAAAGTTTTAGTACGAAAAAAGGTAATTTGACTCACTACGTAGACTGAACGTTAACTTATTTTCACCAGATAAATTCAAAAATCCACCAACGAAAGAACAATGATATACAACATGTAAATCTCTTCGACTTACATATCAAAGACGACTTTCTTTGTTTCAAATTTGCGTGCAAAGCTACACAAAGGGAGTATCCGCACATAGCTATCCCCAGTTTTGAACTGACAGACTACAGGGAAGGCACATAATCAACAGCACTCACCACCAACGATTGGTTTACTCACATCTGATTGAATAATAGAATTTGACCGTTACTCTTATAAATTATAGGATATCCACAAGCTCAAAGGGCGGAGTGCGTTTTCACAATCCGAGCTAAATACTAGACTATTCTGGCTTAATTTATTTCGCTGATACACTTATCTTAGAAAGCTCATTATCAGAAAAAGGCTGCATTGTACTTGGTGAATGTAAATACAACCAACCGTTAAAATTTTTATTGATTAATGGTCTAATTGGAACTAAATTTTACCAGAGGAATATTAAGAATCGTAAGTTTTTCCAAGGGTTTTCAAAAACTGTGGAAGAAGGTGTATCCGTTATTTTCAAACAGCATGTCAAGCGTATCCCTAATTGAAACTACTGCAGGTATAATTGTTTTTTATTGATCCGCTCAACTCATTTATAATGACCGTTTTCAGATCCTCCAAATTTCTTGGGCTATTCTGATAAATATTTCCTTTCATGAAACCCCACATCCAAAAACCTACTGTGCAACATCCGGCTTATGATTCTATCTTCAGTGAAAATACTGTTAAAAGCCTTTTAACGGGACCACGAACATAAAAGATTGCTTCATCTTGTTTAAAACTGGTGTTCTCAATGCACCATTCTGTAAAGATTGAAACAGTGTGGTCTTGAAGTGTTTTCTCATAACAGACTTCTCTTACCCAATTATTTGGCATGATAAGTTTCATCAACATCTTCAAGGAAATAAGGTTGGACAATAAAGGTCCTGGTGAAGCTGCAACATACAGTAAAGATAATGATTAGGCTTACGGTAAATTGCATGAGGGTTTTCAAGAGAAATTTCTTGAGTTGGTACATCAACTAAGATAAAGGTCTGTGTATACTCTAAAGGATGTTCCTAGCTACACTTCGTCCATCAATAACCTAGCCAAAAATATAATGTATGACTTCAAGTCGCGAAGGTGGATCATCATCTTTTAAAGGCATGTAGACGCCTAAAGTGATAAGTTTTGTGCTTTACTGTCCTATTTCCCTCCCCAGAAGAATGCTTTTCAGATTGGTCTTGAATATTTTAATCAATCCCAACTATTGTTTCCACAGATACACCGGCTACGAAGAACGAGAAGCGTCTTTTACTGATCCAATTGCATCGACCAAACAGATTCAATTTGTAACATCTTTAGGACACTTATAAGTAAGCATCCATTTTTCTCTATGGAATTACTTTTTGACCAAAGTAAAACTTATACTTGTTTGAGAGCACAGTCGAATAACAAACGTGAAATCCTTTGCACTAACAAAAATTTTATTAAAGTCGCCATTTCGAAAATTTGAAAGAGAACTAGAAGAAATTACTTTGCAAGAAAAGCGATTTAGGCATATAATAGTTATAAATGTATAATATGGTTTTGAAATATCCTCTATCACGTCCAAACTATCTTTTATAACATTTACGATTCTCATTGTGCCTATTATTTTTACGTTTATTGTCAGATTGGTTTTGTTTTGGGTATTTGGTAATTACTAAAGAAATCAATACATACAACCAAACAATTTAAACATTTAATAGATTTAGATCTTATACAATGTTGTGCTAACTATTTTTATAGAATTGGCACACACACACGCGCGGATAGTGAGAGATATAATCAGAGAAAGGTAAAAATATAATGACTGTTAAAAAGGTTTACTGCTATTGAACGCCTTCTTCAGAAGTTCTAAATAATAACTACCATTATGAACTATGACAAACTTAATACTGGTTTAACTTGGAAACGAAATACCAAAGTTTAGATCTTTAAATTTCATTGCAGTACAACAAGTGACGTTATCTTTTTCAAGAAAATGGTAAATAGTTGTACTAAACTTTTTATAGTTGTTGTTTAAATTTGTAAAATGTAGGTGACTTTCGTTGATAGTAAATGTTTGTCATTTTCACCTAAGCCTCATTTCTGAATAAGTTAGGAATTATTTTACTTTACCCGAATTTGAAATATCAATCGGGTAAACCACGTGAAAATAAACTGGACGTAACAAAAACAATACTACAGAAAACCCCCATTATGTCCATCTTGGCCTGTGAACCACCGACAGCTTCAAATCCTAATATCTTGCTAACGGTAAGTGGAGGTTTGTGTCAAAGGGTTCTCTTTCGTAACAATAACCTTCAGTTTCCGATGAGGGTGCTGCTCCAGATTGGGAAATTTAATGTCGTGAAACATTTACTTTCTTTCTTCTTTTCGCATTAAGTTGGTGTAAATACACAGAAGTAAATTCATATTTTTATTAGAGCTCTTCAATAATTTGTTCTTAATCATATTCTCAACACAATTATTATTAATAGCGGTTTGAATGATTTGTTTAGTAACTGAATTAGTTTTGACTTGAAGGTTTGGTAATTCTTATAGCCCTTAAAGGTTCGTAAGATAAATATGGATCATATCTGAGTTTTGTCGAAGTTGATTCATTGGTTTATGCATTTAAAACATTATTCTGTCCATGTAACTTATAATTCATGATGCAAATTATATCAAAATGCATTTTAAAAATGGAAACAACCGTAACGCCGGTCCACTGACATTCCGAAAGCTACTAAGGTTGAACGTGATCCTTTTCTTTTAAGTCAAAATGAAACTTTTAACAATCTATTTATCAAAATTTATGCAGTGGGTTTCATTATTCAATACCTCTATCTAAATGTTTCTCGAACTGAAGGTGATTATGTTTTATATATAATACAGTTTATGCAAAAAAAAAAAACTAAATTCACACGTCTATCCACAAATCTGCCTGCGTTGGCCTAGTTTCCAGACAAACCCTACAAGGTAACCCTAAAATTTAACCTACATAGTATTCCTGGGAAAAACACAAACACTTGCACCACCAACCACTATACTTTAAAGCACAGTACAGCACGTGACGAATTAACCAGCACGTACAAAAGAGTAAAAACTCGTTAGTACTTCCGCTTGTCAGTTTCAACTTGACGCATTGTTGTACACCGTCTAAGATTATGAGAAAGACGTGATAAATTTCTGCTGTATCAAGGAAACTATTTCGTTTAGAAAAACATTTTAGTTTATAACACAAATATGGTAAATACAATAATAGTTTTGTAACTAGTACAGAAACAATATATTGCATACAATTATACGTACCAAAATGTTATTTACTTTCTATCTGCTTTAAAAAAATAGCAGTAAAAAAGTATGTTTAGTTTAATCAAATGATGGACCGGTTCAGGGTTCGAGACGTAATACCACTGAACATGTTCCACAATTTCAGCTATGAGTGTGATGTGTAAGTGACAGTCAATTCTGTT